AAAAAAAAAGCAAAATATAAAAAGGGTATGTATAATCTAACTCTATGAATGACGACTTTTGGGACACACTCTACACATGTCTAAATAGGAAAAAAGAATGACTCAACATAATGAATAAAACATCTTTCTTGAATAAATTAAATAATTTCACAAATGTTCTGCTAAAAAATTTAAAAAATTACGTGATAACTAATTTCCTTCTCGAGAGAAAAAATTAAAAAGACGAATCAATATTTATTTAAAAAATCTTTTATGTCGGGCATATTAAAAAAAATGACTTTAAAAATAAAAATATACGAGTAATCTGATATCAAAGTAATTGTTTTTCCCCCCGTAACAAATTTTTAATCAAGGAAAAAAGAAAACAAATCAATTTATTAAGTAATATTTTCGTAAATATAATCAAAAACAGAAACGTGTTTAACTTGTAGAAGATGTCGAAACAATAAAAAATAAGGAAGAGATTCAAAAAAACAAATACCATTTTATAAAAATGGAGACAAATATCTACCAAACTTCAAACCTTTTCTAATATCATGAATATAGTAAAGAAATACTTCATAAATTTTTCGAATTCTACTTTTTTTTTTTTTACGTCAGTCGTAAACTTTTATTTGAATATGTTCACGTTTTATAAAAGCGTGCTTTTAACATTGTACATTTATACGCGTACACGTCTACAATATAAAATATTTCTTATGTGTTACTATACTTTATATTGTTTTTTCTAAACTTCTTTCGTCAGTTTTGACAGTTTTTTTTTTTGTCAAAAAAAGAAAGAAATATATCAATTATATCCTTATGTCAGTTATTATCGAATATAATTTTTTATTTTGTTAACTGCTAATCTGTTCTTTATTACAGTAACATTTCCTATTTTCTTTACCATTCGATGTAGAAAATAAAATTAAAATTTCAAATTTTCAGTACATTTTTTTAATAATAAAATAGTATAAAAACCTTATGAATATTAATAAAATATTGCTTATAAATTTTTTCCAGTATACACGAATATATACGTGTATATATACAATACACTAGGATAAATACTACTAGAGTTATGGAGATATTATACGGCCTAATACTACCATTTTGCCTACAGCTAGCAGCGGATTTAAATTTATTGTAGTTCTAAGTTATTATGTATGAGGTCCTTCACCTTTCAACAAAATAATAATGAATTTAGAAGCGTAAGCTGTAGTCTCATAGCGCGAAGGTTTTAAGTTATAGCTTGTGTAAATCTAGCTTTGCCTATAGGCTACGGTCTTTATTATAGCTTATTGTCATTTATATATTGTTAAGTATTATTACATTTTATCAAACGTAAGGATAACAGCGCATTATTTAAATAAATGAATAATGATCGAAATCCGTATTTAATGCCCTTATGGGAAACAAAGTAAACACACATTCTGTCAATAATCACTTAACAGTCAATGGAAATCAATGACTACAAACGTACATATTCAAATGAAGATTGCGTTAAGTAACCTTTCAGTTTAGATTTGTATATAATTAATCAATTATTTAAAAATTCTTTAAGAAATAAAACTCTTTTCAACCGACTTAATTTTCTCTCTTCTATTGTAAATTTAAATTTTAAATTAGTTTAACTTCCTTTCTAATCATTACCACATTTAATGTTTATAAAATTAAATTAATTCCAGGTGTGCTTTTCCTTACCTTTATATACATACATATATATATATATTTTACATGGATAAGAAATTTAAGACAAAAGGATTTTCTTCAATCAATTATTGATATTTTAATTTATCAAATTGATATGGAATTAAATTAAGTTGAAAACGTTTAACGATTTTTAAAATATTTCCTATATATATATATATATATTCGAAAAATGGAGAATTTAAATTAAATATTGAAAAACAATTTATCACAAAATATAGGCCTATCATTTTACTATCACAAACTTTAAGTAATTATTTTATGATTTTGATTGATATTTTGTCTTCTATAGTCTATTATCCTTGTTATACACAACCGTTTTTTTTTTAAATTATTAATTAAATGAGAAGAGAATTTAAAATATCTCTAAAACTAAATTAAATTTTAAAAGTTTAATTTAATTATCATATAAAATAAAATATATATTTTTTACCAATATATAAATACTGTTGGTGTACAGAATTGTACATGGGCCAAGTTAATTTTTCAGATCTTACTTTCTCTCTTTCATCAATTGAATCATCTTCTAGTGAGAAATAATTTGGATCTCTAAAAGAAAAAATAAATAAATAATGAGTTTAAAAATATACATATATATTATATTTATGATTATACTTTTTTCAATTTTTAATGTTTAAAGACTAGATAATTAAATTATTTAAAATTTAATTGATTTTTTAAATTCTTCCTCCTCTTTTTTTAATTACTTAATTTCTAAAAGTGTTCTTACTTTAACATGTTTTTAATCATCCATCTAAAAATCAATTTTTAAAATAAAACAAATTGTTTTTGGGGGAGAAATTGGTTATTTTCATTGCATCCATTTTCTTTAAACAGATGCTCTCCTTTTATTTATTTATTTATTTTACTTTTATTGATCTCTTAATAGAAAGTCACAGATTTCTCCAGTTAAAATATTTTTTTAAAAAAATAGGAATAATAATAATAATAATAAAGNATATTTATAAATATATAAATATATTCATTTTGAATTTTATCTAATTCAAAAGATTGATGTTTATTTAGAATTTTCTTAAATATAATAAACAGATATCTTTGGAACAGGACAACAAAAATCAATAAATAGAAAAATTTATCTGGTGTGATTTCATAAAGTTTTATTATTATAATTACTGATATAAATATTATTTTTCTCCAAAAATTAAAAAAAAATTAACCTACATCAGCTACCAAAAAATAAAAAGAAAACGAGGAAAGGAAGAAGAGGAAAGATGGAAAAGAAAAAAAAAATGTCTTTTTTGAAGGAATTGCTAGTAGCATTTGGTCAGGGTAAGGTCATTAACCCAATAAAAATCATTGTAAGAAATTTCCTATAAAAATTTTTATTAACATTTTATAAGCTCAGAAACGGTTCCTAACTTGTCAAAAGTAAATTTTAATAAAAGAATAAATTTCTGATAACATCTTTGTATTGGACTGACATGGTCAATGCATTAACGTTTTCAATTGACTTTTCTATGGGGAATAGATATATTTATCGGGTTTCCTTTTCATCTTCCTTTTCTTTTTTCTTATTATATATATATTTTTATTCTTTTTAACTTTCAATTCCATTTTTAAACTAAAATATATTTCTAGTTATCAATTTCATATAAGCCTAGAGGAACAATATCTTCTTTTGTCTCTCTAATTTCATTTTTGTTCTATAGAAAATAATTGAAAAATGTCGGTAAAATCATAGAATAGAAAAAATATATATATATTAATGATCTTTTTATTTAATGCTTTGTATGCTATTATTTATTAATAATGTTAGATTTAATAGGAGGAAAAAAAAACATTATTATTTGTGTTATGATAAGATTTAAGAAAATCGGTGACTTTTTCTGTATTTTTAAAATAAGATTTTACTTGAAATATTTACTGTATTTGAGTTATAGCTTATTTTAGAAAATAAATATACTTATTTCTGAATCTCATAAAGTTTCCAAAGTAGAAAACATGGTAAGTTTTTAAGCATTTAGCCTTTGATGTGATTTGCTTTCACCATCCTCTGAAAACATCTGTTTCTCAGCTTAGATTGTTGGGAAGATCCTAACGTAATTTAGAACAGTAATCAGATAAAACTGGAAGAAAAGACATTCTCCGAGGTTTTTGAGAGAAAAAAAAACAGTTGAAAAGAGCTTTCCACAAAGACCATTCACTGATTTTATTTTTCAATGTGTAATTTCAATTTAAATATTATCAATGAGAATTAAATATATATATATATATTTTTTTCTTATTTTTTAAAGGAAATGTTAAATATATTTAAGTGTCACTAACAGGTTTCATATGTTTAAAAATATTAAAGTATAAATATTTATATAATTAATTACGTATTATACACAATATCACGTAAACTATTGTATAATGATTCTATAAGTGATTGTGTAGAAGCAAATAGAGATTTGTGCCAAATACAAATCAATTGAGTTGATTTATGTTTTGTATATTGAGCTATTTAGTAATGTTTATGCAAAATTTGATTATACTAAACATTTCACTTAATTGATAAATATTTGCATTTGTCCTATGAATATTTATAACTGTAAATAGATTTTTTTTTTAATACGGTAAGCCCATTTTAACGTACAAAACTAAATACAGTACTAACGAGTACCCAAAATTCGCAAGATAATGTTATAAATAAAGTTATACATCGATTAAATTATATTAATATAATTTTTATGGATATGTGAACTTGTCTCAACTGAATACACATTATTTATTTTTAATAAAATATTAATAGAATTTAATACAAAAATATCTTACATTTTTCAAAAATTTTCATTATGTTACGTAAAGAATAAGTTAATTATATTAAGAGCGACACATTTTCGTTTTATTAAATTAAGTTATTTAATTTGTCTTTGATGTTATGTATCATTTAAAATTAAAATTTAATATAATTTCTTTTTTTAATAAAAAGAAAAGTTAATATTATAAATTTTATAATGACTCTCTTCATTTTCTTATGCACCTAAGAAACAGCCTTAAGCAAGTTTATCCTTTAGATGAGTGAAGATAAAAGAAGTCTTCATTCGCTTTATCTCCACTTTTCTGCAAGATGGTTTTGAAAACTAAAGATTGTCGTGTATATTATATGGTGAATCTGTTTAGAATAGCTAAACAGCCAACAATGTTCTTTCAGATTCCTATCATGTTATATCATGTTGAATTTTTTGTACGTTAGCAAAAAACTAATAAACGTTGGCTTATGCACCATCAGCATTCTTATTTAAGAAAAAAAATAAAAAGAAGAGAACTTTATCGTTGATCCTAACGACTGATCAGATAGAATTTTTTAAAGATTTTTGTTCAAATTTTACAGTGATAAATATGAATGAAGATGAAAACAAATATAAATTCTTTTTTCTTTATATACTGATTTTAAAATTACATTATTGACTATCAGTTTCGATTGGTTGTAGTGACGATTTAATATTCTATAGGTTACGCTTATAAATCGCGTAGAATAGATTCCTGCATGATTTACTGGGGGGACAATTTTACCTATCGTTACCGATATTTTTGATTTACTTTACTGGAGAAAAAAAAGGGTAATATTCCTTTATTTTATTCATACATTATTCTATCCTAGTTCCAGTTTGATCCTCAATTTTGTTTCTCTTAAACATAACATCCTAATATTGGGTCAAAGAAGATTCTTCTTAATCTCTGATACAGTGGGTCTAATTAGTTTACTTCTCATCTTATCGATCAGTGGGATAAAAGTAATAATATCGTTCATATTAAATTCGATATTACTATAAAAATTATCTTTCATTTATTATATTCTTACGAATCTATAAGCACTGTACTGTACTGTACATGTGAGCAATTTATTCATATTTTAAAGAAATTATCAAAGTTATTAATCGCCATCGAAGTCTTAAAAATTCAAATATTCATTGCTGTTTCAGTAAATAATTTGATTTAATTATGTCTAAAATTCTTATAAATCTGTAAAATATAAATTTAACACTGCGCAAATCGTGTTTTCTCAGGTAAAATTGCTGTAAATATTAACGTGTATATTTTTAATTTGTAATTTAAACTGTAAGATATTTATTTATTCGATCTCTTTTATCCATTTTACTTATAAAAATTAACATAAGAAACCCATTAAAAATGTGGAAATATCTCACATAAATCCCATTCAACAGTATCAAAATCTGTTCACAACTCCATAAAAATAATTAGCTAAATTTATTTAATTATCCTTAGATAACATTCTTTTATACCAGTATATCTTTAAATAATTTAATTATATAAACAAATAATTTCGGTGTTTATTAAATTTACTCACCCATACTTAGCAAAATTAAGCCAATATGACATAATTGTTTCTGATAAACTAACTTCGTTCTCGGTATAATTTTGTGGAAAATGAGTCATAGTACCGATTAATGGAGAACCAAAGACGTAAGGCAGTTCTTCACCATGAATACATCCGAATCCATAACGATAATCACCTTCTTCCGTCTTGTAATTGAATACATATAAATACGTTGGCGTAGTTATAAATGAATGAAGATTACCGACTTTTATGACTGGTGCCACGATTAATGCATCACCCAATGCATCAGCCGTGGCTTCTAATGTACTAATTGGATGTGGAACCGATCGAGTCCAATCTGTATATTCGTTTACGATTGTTAGAAAAGTTTGCTGTAGATGATAACTGAAAACGTTGCGTACCAAAGTTCTTAGCATGCGATCACGTCGATTACTTTCAATGCCATTTTTGGCTTCTTTGGAGGAAAATTGGAAATAAGCTTCGACTCTATTAACACCCAGTAGGAGATCGTAATTAGCAAACAAACTCTTGGCATCTTCCATAATTAATAAAGGTTCGTTGGGTATGACTACACCGTCGACTGTTGGACCGAATGCTGTTAGATAATCTGGAATGGCCAAAGATACTTTCATGATGTCGGATACCGAACGGTGTCTTAGACAATCCAACAATGCAAGTTTCTCGTGAGTGGGGCAATGTAACTGTTCGGCTAATCGATGAGTGTAAAGTAAAGGCTCTTTGGCTATTGCCCAAGGACTCAATGCAGAACCGCTCTGCATAATAGCTCTTTGGAATAGACCTGTCGGTAAACAAAACAAAATAGGTAAATGCATTAAACTATCGATTAACTAATGGGGATAAAATAATAAGAATCTAGCGGATAAAACAATACTTGTGATATTATTAATGTTTACTTTATCGCTATTACTAGAAAAAACTATGTTAATTACGTATTAATATTTATTAAATGAGAAAAATAATTGTATTGGTTACTTTAATTCTCTAGAACAATATTTTAAAAAATTCATTAATTATAAATGAACGTATCAATTTTAATAAATTTTACATTTATAATTAAATTTGCTTTTATTAAATCAAGTAAGAATAATTTTAAAATTAAAAAAATAATAATTGCTTCGCTTATTTCTAGCAGTAAACAAACAAACAAATAACAAAATACTTTAAATTTTTTATCAATTTAAAGTCGATTATTATTTATTTTATTATACAAATTATAGGCCTATATTTTTACAAAAAGTTAAAATAAATAACAACAACAACAACACTATAAAATTCTTATGGGTTAAACAATTGAGTCTATTATTATTAAACGTCACAGACAAATAAAAACAGAATAAATCTTTTAAATATTGATAAGATATTTTGGAAATAATGAATAATGTTATTAAATACGCCTTTTATTCAATATAATTATTAATTGATAGAGTAAATATATATAAAACAGGATAAACAATAGTGTACTATGGTTAAATATAATCACTTCTCCTAAAACGATTTCCTTTAGAAAAGGAGAAAGTTACTTTAGATAGGAGTTGGCAGCTGTCAATTAAATCCTTGTAGTCTGTAACGTATCTAATATAGAGATTGGCGTAGGCAGGTATGACATTTTGTCAAATTTAGCTATTACATAAAAAGCAGAATATAGAATATGATATGTATTTTTCTCTGCCACTTCAGTAGAATAAGAATCACAGGTCAGGATACCAGAAGAGACTTTTATCTCTTGAGTCACAATTTAATATTTATAGGTATTGAATATTTTATGGTCCTAAATGTTTTTTCTAACGCATTAGTCACTTTATCCATTCGAAATTTTCTATTATATCTTTCCATAAAGTTAATAAATATTAAATAGAGTATTTATATAAAAAAAAAGTAAAAAAGGGAGAGCGGTAGTAGTAGTAGTAGTAGAAAAATTAAATCCATCATTATTTTTTATATTTAACTAAACTACTTTTATTTGGTTATAAATAATTTACATTATTATAAGAGACGGATGAAGAATAGAGAATAATTTCTATTTTTTTTTTTAAGATTGTATATATATATATATTTGATAATAATAATAAAACGTTATTGTTTGGTAGGAGAAAAGAAGAGGGGTTTTATCTATATATTCTTTACTTATTTTAATAATATAATAAGAAAGCTTGATTCTTCTTTTAGATGATTTCTTATGAATAGTTTTTTACCTTTTTAATATTTTAACATTTTTATACATAACATCTAAGTTACTCTTCCGGAACTTATTCATATTTTTCATCAGGATATTCGTCAATCTCAAATCTTTGACATTTCTTGTCATCCAGAAACGTATTTTTCCTGTGCACCTTTGACATTTTTGGAAATATAATTTAAATGCGTTTCATACAATTTATATATATATATATATATTTATATTTAAAATAAATAAATAAATAAAAATAATAATAATANCAGTTTTTGTCATTTTCTCAAATAAATAAATAAATAAATAAAAATAATAATAATAATACCGTATAAATTTTTTCCTATTTTTAATACCTTTATTATATGTATGTATGTTTATATATGAAACGTTCTACTCTATATTAGTTTATACATTAAAATTTATGAGTTGACTTATATATTTTTTTATATTTCCTTTTCTTTTCATGGGGGAATGTTTATTTTTTGAACTTTTTTACAACGTATTCGAGATATTTAAAAGTATAAAGCGCTCGATAGTTAAAAGAAGCTTATGAGAAAGTGTGGCTTTCTAAATAATGTCAATACATTAATTAAACTGCTGACCCTTAATGTAAACAACTCTAAATTTAAACCAGTGTTTGGGTTGTCGTCAGTTTAAGACGTAACTGTTGATTAATTAGCTGGAAAAACTAATAATCCGAGCAAATGTGTCCTGAAAATCACCGATAAAGACGTGTTCAATACCTCACTGGATATTTTTTTATATCCTTAGCAAATTAATTAATTTTAAGTGTTTTAATTGGAAATAAAATTTGTAAATAATTATAAAATTAGCTTTTGTTATAACCGCAACATTTTTAATAAGCATACTTCTCCTCTGTACTGTACAGTACGTATAAATTTATTAATTAAAGACGAAAACAGGTATCTCTAGTGGTTCAATATATGCAAATTAATACATTACAACATTTTCGATATCGATTTTTCTTCCTATTTTCATCCATTAATCTATTGCATATACATATATATATGTGTGTGTTGAGAAAGAGAGAATTTCGGTATTAATACATCGACGTTGTACCTCGCATAACTTATTAATTAATTTTATTATCAATTAAGAACGAATTGTTATGATTTATTTACCCTTAGCCATTGGTGATATCATAAGTAAATTCACACAAGCTGCACCATAACCCTGTCCAAATATCGTAACGTTATTGGCATCTCCACCGAATTCTCCGATATTTTCTTGGATCCAGTGAAGAGCTGCAACTTGATCCATAAGACCATAATTGCCTCGAGATGATCCATCTAGAGCGGGAAGAAAACCTTGGAAGGAACAAAATATCGTTAAATGGGATAAAATCCTTATTTTCTATCATCACGTTTTAAATCTATCACTTATAAAAATAAAAATAGAAAGAGTAACGAAATCATAAAAGAAATAAAAAAAATTTACCTTTGTTTTACAATATCAATTTAATTTTTATTATATAAATAAACTTTAATAAGTAAAAAATAAAATGAAACATCATTTTTTTGCTATTTAATAACAGAAAATTGTCATTTTTAATCTAAGAAACATGATTTTCTATTTAGAATAATTTAATCTGAGGTATGGATAGATTAAAGAAAGACTTCAACTACTCTAAAGAAATAGAACACAATCGATTTTCACTCAAAAAAATATTTTATTCTGATTATTATTTTTTTCTTTTCTCGTTTCTTTGTACCAAAATTAAGAATAGAATGTAAGAGATTTACCTAGAACACCCAATCTGTAGTTTATGGTTACAACCACAACAGAACCAAAACTAGCTAGAACACTACCATCGTAAGGATTTCCAGAATTCCATTCGTAGGATTCACCATGGATATACACCATAACAGGTAATCTAATAGGTTCTCGTCCCACTAGAAAAAAAAAAAAAACAAATATATATATAATATATACAGTATATATTTTGTGAGTAAACTTTACGATGTTAAAGCTCAAAAGCAAACCATCTACGGTTTATTTAATAATGTTTATAAGAATTGTCGCTGGTAACAATAGTATCAGTCATAACTCATCATTAGGTTGAAATTTTATAAGGCAATATGGCAGGGAATAAATATATTTATTTTTACTTGAGTAGAGTGAATGACCATGAAGTGATATGCATTGAGGGTAATTCTCTGTAGGAAACTTCTACCCGACTAGTGATAAGATACTACATTCATTCAATAATGTAGTGGTCGCCTGCACATTTTTATATGGCTCTCCAATCTGAAAGAAACCATTACTTTCTTCCTCTTTGTACTGATATTCTTGTAAAGTCAACATTTTCGGACTGTCTGCTTCGAATTTTTCAGTTTAATTTTTCCCCCCTTTTTTTCCTGTAATTTTTTCTGATTTTTTTTTCCTTTTATAATATGCAATTCAACAAAATGTAATGTCTTATGGTTGGTATAAATATGCATATTTTTCTAACAAAATAACTAATAACAAGAATATTTTTTCATAATTTTTAGTTCGAATATAAAACATTTTTTTCTTTGTTTTATGTGTTTTTATATTTCAATCCGATATAAAAAAAAATTCTATTTTAGAATGTGTAACAGCTTTTCTATAAAAATTTCTATCGAATTTTTATTTTTTCTGGAAGAGTAAATAACATCCTTGGGTAAAATTTCTGTTTTACAGTGCAAAACATTCAATATAAATTTTTTTTCCTTGTCGAATATATAGAAATTCTTTTAAAAATTTCACGTTAAAGTGTCATATTATATCTATTAAATATCTATTTTAATATATAATCTATGCCATTTTTAAAAAATTTGATAATGATTGAATATCATCGACGATAGAAGAAAAATGTTTAAATATTCGAAATTTAATTCACCTAGCCTTTTTTTTTAAAGGAAAAAGAATAAATCTTAACTTAAATTTCCAATTCTTTTTCATAAAAATATCAATAATTCCAACCTTCGATTTCGAAAATTACAATTCTAGTATCGCTTTCTATTAAGAGACAAAATGATTTTCCTGACTTTTAGTATAAGGGTTTTCCATTTGGCTACGTTTTACATTTTCCAGCCAACAAACCTGATTTATTTTATAATATGCTAGAGTTACCAGGAAATGCCAGACACAAGTAGCAGTCATAAAAGTTAGTCATCTATAGTAATCCTAGTTTTCATCGCTACTCTGTAATGAACTTCCGCGTATCTTTGTCAATCTTTGATGTTCCTAATTAACTATGTTACTTGTCTTTGAATGTTTCCTTATTTACAAGAAAGGAAATATCGATTTCTTGCTCATTTTGAAACATCCGTTTCAAAATAAAATTCTTAGTAGAATCACTCAAATAATTTATGAAATAGATAAACATAGAAATGTAGAATACGCTTTAGAGACATTTTGGGGATTTAAGACCCTCGAGGACATACTTTAAATGTTTGAAATCTTATATTAACTCCAGATATAATTTATAATCTGGTATTTATAATGAAAATCCTCCAAATATTATCATTTAGAGTGAAGTATTCGCCAATTGGGAATCAGTCGAGTGGGTGTGATCCTACATCACCTTCTCCTAAAGGATTACACTATTGGGAACAGGAAACATTTCCGACTTGTAAACTACAGATATTGTTCATGTAAAGCTTAAAGTAACATTGTATTAATAACACTATTCTCAATTAATATACCTTTTATTAGTGTGATCAATCGATACCCCCTCATTCCATTACTAATATTAACCATTACAAAATTATCTTCCAAGTAAAAACTTTTTAAATCAAAAAAATAGGCCTTTTGTGTGTAATTTTGAAGCTTTACTATATTAAAAAGTATACAATTCGCAATATTAAGTAATTATTTTTTGGTATAAAATAATCGTTAAAACCCATCTCGAGTGGATTTTCATTTTCAATATTACTTAGATTATCATAAAGATTAAACAGTCTACAGATCCCAAAGCTTTAAGTGTTTCTTTTCCAATTTCTGTATTTTTCATACTCATTATTATGCAGTAGTCTTATAACAACTTCAACATGTCTCTTGAGTCTATTATTTTTCTCCTCAGTATAAAGTCAAGCATTGTTTTGACATTCTTACAGATAAGAAATATAAATTCTACTTTTATCTTTTCCACTTTAAGGAAACAAGATATTAATAATATAAATTTTACATTCTAATTTTTTTTTCATACACATTATTAGATAGAATGTATATATATATATTTTTTAACAAACATAAATAAGCAAACATATCTACATATAAGATCGATTTAGAAACAATGTAACAAGCAGAAAAGCATTGAAATACATATATTCAAGTTTATATATAATTTATTTAAATTTATATTCAACTTCTAAGAAGTTTAACTCCTAAAAATAGCATAATTATATTATATATATATTATTCGTAATTAATAATTAAGCTTACAAGTATAACTGAAATAAAAAATAATTAATGATAATCGATATTTTTAATTAACGATTTATTTTTATCCTATTGGAAAACTGTATCATTACCTAAGAATAGAATTCACGATACCGATATTACAATATTTATTTTCGAAAAAAATGAATTCATCTTTTAGTATTGCTTTCTAAATTAAACTTGGAAACAACTTTAAAAAAAACATATTCAAAAATCAGAAATTAATCTGAAAATTTTAATTTTGTTCTAAAAATATGTTTCTATAAAAACAGAATTTTTTAGTTCCTTAAACAATGTTCAATATTATTCTGAAATTCAACATAGTGTTAAAAATTATCTATATACAGAATTCTGTTATGTAAAAAAATGAATTGTGAATATCTATAACAACATTGAAGAATACAATAGAAAAAAAATTAAATATAAATATATTTATTACATTTATAAATATAAATCGTCCATTGTGATATACGTACGATATTAGCATCAACAATTTTTAAACGATGATTGGTTGAGGAAAAAAATTCAAAACATAGCTCCGCCTTTTCGTATTTCTTTAACCAATCGTCGTTTAATTATTTACATCACATACTCAATGTATTTTTCTTTTGATTAGGATAATTTTTACGTTTATTTTACGTCATCTCTGAGTTTTATAATTTTAAATTGTAGAGTGAGGTCAAATTTACGCAAAAATGTGCACTATCTTAACCAATCAAACGGAGAGTTAGTTACGGGGTATATCATATCAATCTTAATTGCAGAAAATTCCAATTTCATTAAAGTTTTTTTATTTAATTTATCTCTTTGTTTTCAAATTTTTATATTTACTTCTGGTTTATACTGTGTAAATAAAAGAAAAACATGAAAAATTACATTTACAAACACAGCAAATATATACAAAAATTTATATATATATATATACTTTTTTATACAACTACTTAAACAAATTCCTTTTAGAAAAATAATTTATATTTTTCAATAAAAACATTTTTTTTCTTTTAATTTAATTTCAAAATTTGTTTAGAAACAACACGAACAATAAACACGAATATCTCAAATTAGATAACGCTTTAAACATTTTAAATTCGAATATAAATTTAAATAACTTATATAATAAGGCAATTTAATATATTTAACAAATTCAGAACTTTATATAAGATCTTACTTTAATTATAGAAAATTTTAAATTACAAAATAAAAAATAATTGACGTAAAAAAATCTAAAGTAGAACTTTTATTACCCGTTTAATGTGGAGAAAAAGGCGAAGAAAAAGAAAAAGAATGGATCTTTTTTTTTTTTCTTTTTTAATCACGAAATGATTACAAGCCAATACAAATTTATGTGGAAAATGTAAATTTTTCTGCAGTAAAATAAAAGTTGAAGTATCTATAATTAAAAGCTAATCAATAGCCCTCTCCCGAAATAGACTCGGGAGTTCAATGATATTTCCTTTTCCTTAAAACTCCACCTTTTATCGATGAAGAACGTGGGAAGTCAACAGACGTTTTAGAAATGTTGGCAAGCTTGTATCAAAACATGCCTGACTAGACCAAACGAACACTACTTATATTGATAGCATTTGAAGCAGTTCAAACATTTGATTGATGATTATGATTGTAGTTGAAGCGTACTATTTCCATCTGCTCTTATGCCAAGTTGCATTACCTCATTTTCATAAGTTTTCGAAGACCAATTATGAATTAAACCGCGTTAGAGATTTTCTGATTCAAGAACTATACAATACTCTGTCTATTATTCACTCATGACAAACTACCTTTTAGAACAATGTGACCACGACAGCGTTTTCAACAACTATGATTATATCTCTTCTATCTTAATTACGGGAATTTTCCCAGAAAACGGAAAATGACTAATGTTTTAATACAGATATACATGTGTGTGTGTGTATACAGTGTATAACTGACAAAAGTTTCAAAATATATAGATGGAAACATAGTCGAAGAGAGATTTTTCATTGATTAAATCGAAGTTAATTCGGTTTCGAATAAACTAAACTAACTTAAATGACGTTTAAAATGTTCACTTGATCCTAGAATCATTTCTGAAAGTAATTTAAAACCAAATTGTTAATTAGCCCGCTCCCTTTATGGTTAAATCTATGTCATGCGACAATTAAGATGGCTTCCACTTTTCTAAACTGACAGATTTTCTCTAATGAAACGTCACATCGGAACATTAGCTAGCGAAGGGATTATGAATGTATCCTATTGCTCAATTATAATAAGTTGAAGGCAAGCTTATTACCGAGAGTACGTTTTTTTATCGTATGGTTCCTCTACAAATAATTTGTATCCGTTGCAATATCGATTACGAAGTCTAGACGAGATAATTACTATAAGTCTAAGCGTATGTCTGTATCTCTCGGTGCTTCATAATTATTGATAAATAAAGAAAATTGCAATTTCATCAGTTGTCTTCTACAAAATATCCACGACAGAAAAACTCTATCGCTTTTTCCTC